CAGGCTTTCTGCTGAGCAGGGAGCCCGATGCGGGGCTCGATCCTAGGACCCCGGGATTGTGACCTGAGTCGAAGGCAGACACTTAACCGACTATGCCACCCAGTCACCCCCATGTTGAGTGTAGTCTTAATCCCCATCACCTATTTCACCCCCTGCCACCTCCCCTCTGGCAACCATCAGTTTGTTCTCTATAGTTAAGAGTCTATTTTTGGTTTGTCTCTTTTTCCCTTGGTTCATTTGTTTTGTTTCTTAAATTCCACATATGAGTGAAATCATATGGTATTTGTCTTTCTCTGACTTATTTCACTTAGCATTATACTTTCTAGATCCATCCATGTTGTTACAAATGGCAAGATTTCATTCTTTTTTTACAGAGAAACCAATATTCTTAAAAGTAGTTTTTCCTCCCCAATTTATAGAATGTACATATACATTCCTTTAAAAAATATTAGAACATATGGAAAATATGAAGAAATAAAAATCATCTTTAATCTCAGTAACCATAGATAACCAATTTTAAAACATTTTGCCATATTTCTAACCAAGTATGGTTCTATGCATAGACACAGAAGAAAAACATGATCTTATTGCAAAATAGAGTTTGTATCCTGCTTTTTCTTTTGTAATGCTGTGTGTCAGCATTTTCTAGGCTGTGTTGTTAAAAATTATTTGATTACTTAACTATTAATGTTGACATATAGTAGCCCAAAAGATAACTGTGTCTACTTGAATGCCTCATCATGGGTTAAATTTTAATTTGCTTGCATTTTTCACTATCTTTTTTAAAGATTTATTTATTTGAGAGAGAGAGAGAGAGAGCGCATAAGCAGTGGGGGGGAGGGGCAGAGGGAGAAAGAGTGAGAATCTTAAGCAGACTGCAGGCTGAAGGGGAAGCCCAACACCAGGCTTGATCCCACAACCCCAAGATCGTGACCTGAGCCGAAATCAAGAGTTGGCCGCTTTAACTGACTGAGCCACCCAGGCACCCTGCCTTTTTCACTCTTATAAATAATGTTATGATAAACAGACTTGTTTGTAAATTTGTATTCATATCTGCCTATTTCCTTGGGGCCATGTCCATGGTCGCCTCTTAAGCAGGAGTGTGATGGACTCAGGAATGTATATTTGAAAAGCTATTCTGGTAAAGAAGATGTGGTATATATATACAGCGGAATATTATACAGCCATCAAAAAACCGAAATCTTGCCATTTGCAATGATGTGGATGGAACTAGAGGGTATTATGCTGAGCGAAATAAGTCAATCAGAGAAAGACAAGTATCATATGATCTCACTGATATGAGGAATTTGAGAAACAAGACAGAGGACCATAGGGGAAGGGAGGAAAAAATGAAACAAGATGAAACCAGAGAGGGAGACAAACCATAAGAGACTCTTAATCTCAGGAAACAAACTGAGGGTTACTGGAGTGGAGGGGGGTGGGAGGGATGGGGTGGCTGGGTGATGGACATTGGGGAGGGTATGTGCTACGGTGAGCGCTGTGAATTGTGCAAGACTGTTGAATCACAGATCTGTACCTCTGAAACAAATAACGCAACGTATTTTAAGAAAAAAGAAAAAGAAGAAGATAGCAGGAGAGGAAGAATGAAGGGGAGTAAGTCAGAGGGGGAGACGAACCAGGAGAGATGATGGACTCTGAAAAACAAACTGAGGTTTCTAGAGGGGAGGAGGGTAGGGGGATGGGTTAGCCTGGTGATGGGTATTAAAGAGGGCACATTCTGCATGGAGCACTGGGTGTTATGCACAAACAATGAATCATGGAACACTGCACCAAAACAAATGATGTAATATATGGTGATTAACATAACAATAAAAAATTAAAAGGCAAAAAAAAAACTAATGATGTAATGTATGGGGACTAACATAACATAATAAATTTTTAAAAGGAAGGAAGGAAGGAAGAAAGAGAGAAAGAAGAAAGAAAGAAAGAAAGAAAGAAAGAGAAAGGAAGAAAGAAAGAAGAAAGAAAGAAAAGCCATTCTGACAGTGGTGTGAAGGGTGGATTGGAAAAAGGTGATCCCGCGGCAAGCAGAGAAGAGATGCCGTTTGAGCAATTTAGGCCAAATATAAGGGTATAAACTAAGTCATTGGCAGCAAGGTCAGAGAAAAGAGGACATGCTAAGATTCTTAAGGTGTTTGCTTGTTTGTTGTTTGTTTGTATAACAGAGCTCTCTGGGAACTTGCTGAAAGCTATTAGCATTTTGTACATATTAGTTTAAGAGTTTAGGGACTTCTAAGGTGGCTTTAGTTAGGAGGGCAAAGAGTTTACAGGGATCAGTGGCTCTCTTCTCCAATTTGAAGGGTTGGTTTGGGGAGGAGGAATTTATGAGACCAGTATTAGATGCATCAGGTAAAACTGTCAAGGAGATAGTTTACAAATTGATTTAGTAGCTTAGGAGAGAGGTCAGAGCAGGAGTGAGGATGTGGGAGCCTCTTCACAAAGGGGTGATATTGAGACCCTGGACACAAGAGCAGTCCTGGGTATCAGGGTGCTTATGAGAAGAGTACTGGACATAACCAGGGAGGCTACTTACTCCTAAGTAGGAGACCTGGGGGAAACTAGAGAAGGAGTGAGGAACTATGTACAGAGAATCCAGAAGAGAATGATGTTGAGGAAGCCAAAAGAGACATGAGTTTCAAGGAACAAGTCATCAAACTGTCAAATGTTGCAGAGGTCAAGCAAGGAAAGGACTGGAGGGTTTCCAGAGCAGTTTCAGTCACCTGTGACTGTGGGATGAGCAGATTCCGAGGAAGCCAGATTGCAGCCATGCGGTGAGAAAAGAAGGGAGCCAAGGGAGGCGAGTGTGCAGGGCTTGTTTCAAAGAGAGCTTGTTGTGAGGGGCTGGGGAGTGCAAGGTGATGTCTGGAGTGAGATGGGGCATTGGGGGTTCACTTTTCCTTGCTTCTGTTGAAACAAGGAAAGCTAGATTTCCACATTGTCATATGACTTTGATTAGTTCTCTAACATTTGCTGTTTGCCATGTTTAAAATCTTTTTGTTGGTGATTATGTTTTTAGACACTGTATAGTCTCTCCAAGCTTCCAATGGAAGCACTGCTGCCCAAACTGCTAGCATCCTGCTTCCAGTTCTGCTGAAACAGGCCGAGACTCCTCATTGGCTCTTAGTTGGTCTCCCCTCTCAGTGTTTAAGTTTCAGCATGCTAGTATTTGGAATTACAGTTTTAAAATTTCAGAATATGACTGATGTCCTTGAAGTTTGACCTTTACCTGAAGAATTGGTCAAAAATGGTAAATGTTTAATGTTGCAGTTTAGAGAGTATCTTTATTGTGTTGCCAACTGCTGAATGACAGGGAGCTTTAATTCTAACAAACTCTAATTAGAAAGAGGAAAAAAAATCAAAGGGTTATGTCAACCAGAATCAAAGTGAACCAGAGCAAGAAATAGTTTTATTGGTTACAGAACATCAACAATGTGTGGTATAGTCTTATTCACTTCTTTTACTAGCAATGAAAATACTGCAGGCTGTCCCTAGAGGGTTCAGACAGTCTTATTGAACACATAATCATTTTGATAGGTGTTTTTTGCTGGTAATATGATGCTCTTTGGGGCTGTAGAAAATTATTTATTTTTAGAGATATGCTAAATGATTCTTGGCTTTAAAAAACAAGACAATGTAGCAAATGTTTCTAATGTAGGAAGAAGTGGATAGTCAAGGCAACATATCCACTGGTTTCTTACTTAACAGTGTGTTAGCCTATTTTTGAGTATTATTTTTCTCAGCACAGTTGCTTTAAAGATGTTGACATCAAAAAAGAGTTACCACTTTTAAAGAGGGCATTGTGTTATAATAGAAAACAGTTACCCATATAAAAGATTAAATAAAGGACATATACATGTACATATACATCAGTGCATATATACACATGTATATATACCATATATGTATATGATTTTGCTGTATGAAGAACCTGGTTATCTTTCTCTGAGATTTAACTTTGAAATTCTTGGTCCTTTCTTTCTTTGCTTTCCAGTGAAGTTCAGTATTGTATCTTTTAACTCCCTTTGGACCCCTCCTGTTCCCCTTCTTGTCTAGAACCTTTAGGCCATTCCTTTAATCATTCTTTCCTCATTCTAGGCCACTCTCCTTGCTCCTCAACTTTCTTCTGAATCCATTTCAACCTGCCTAGGTTCAACCTCATTATCTGACATGTTTGCTGCTGTACCTGGGCTGGTGAGCCCTGCTAACTAAAACTTGACAAGCATGCGAATTGTAGCCCCTGTGAATTCATGGTCCCAAATTTGCTAGCCCTCGAGGACGGCCTTTGCCATCCTAGATTGTTTCCCAAGCAGGTCTCTTCTTTATGGCTGTTCTGTACTTTCACCCCCATCTTCAGACTTCCTCCCTGTCACCTCTTCCCTCCATTTCAGAAAATGATCTTGACTCTTGTCTTTTTGAGGCCCTCATGCAGGAACTCCTAAACATCTTTCCTTTCTACCACTCTTTCGGTACCTGCACATTTTCTCAACCCGTATTTTCCTGCCTTTTCTCCATAACTTTGTCACGAGGCTGCTCAAAAGAATAGTGCCTGCTTGCCTCCCTTTCTGTTCTCTGGCTTTCATCAAACTGCTCTTAATGAAGTAAAACTGTCAACGCCTATGAGATAGTGTTCAACTTTTACCTAATTTGCCTCTATCGTATTTTAGCATTACTGAGTGCTACCTCTAAGCATCTTCCTCAGTTTTTATGAAACCCCCTCTCTTTTGGATTTTCTTCCACGTTGGTTCTCACAAATTCAAAGTTGCCATTTTTCCAAAATAGCAGGAAGAGATTTGAGCATTTAATTCTTTACAAAATAATAATTGGCATGAATGCTTAAAATTCAGTATAACCTAAAATTCAGTATTATCTAAAATTGTATTATACTTTTTTATCATATAAATGTATTACAGTTCAGTACTTGTTATACTTTTAGAAAGTAGGAAATACATATTAATTATCCTTGATTTCTTCTTTCCTAGTTAATGAAGGAGTTCCCCTTGCTGAGCATGTTCAACATCCATGAAAACCTTTTAGAAGCTCTTCTGGAACTACAAGCGTATGCTGATGTTCAGGCAGTCTTAGCAAAGTATGATGGTAAGTTCTTGGGTATTTTTATCTACTTGAGTATTTTTTTCTTCTTGATGTATTTCAATGATTAGATCAGAAAGATCATTTCAAATAGTATAGGACTTTAACAACTACCCACTTACAGATTTTTTTTACCTACAGTTTTATGATGGCATTTTATAAAATCTTAGAGTTTTATGGTTGGTCAGTGGGGGCCTGTGCCGCATGCCTCTCCTTCCCTCCCTTCTACTCTTCCTGTCAGCAAGAGTTAGGCATGCTTTGCTTTATTGCCCCCATTGTCAGGAATCACTCAGAACCTCTGTAGGCAACACGTATCTTGTGGGGACAGCCCCGATTGTTTGAGCTCCTGCTGTGACCCCACATGGGACGACTGTGACCACTACTGGTTGGTCATGTTGATCCTTTGAAGCAATATAGAACAGCTAGTAGCCCTGACGACAGCCCCTGTGACAGTTCAGGAAATATTTGAAGATAAAAGAATGTGTCCTTCATCCCAGGTCTTCTCCTCATTAGCAGAATACCTCCCATTTCTGCACGCAAAGGGCTTTGAGGTCCCTTCGCCATTCAGGTTACTTACCCATGAGCTTTTTCATTTTGCCTGTTCTTAATAAACCAGAAAAATAAACTGACACATCTTAGAGATTTCAAAACTCTTGTGTTATATTGCCATTTTCTGTGAATTCACTATTTGATTAATTGCATAAGAGTTATCCACGTAATTCCCTGCCATGACCTAGCTCCTGGAATCTCTGCAGGATTATTATTCTACCTTATTTCATTTGTTTGCTTCTAAAATGGATGTTAGGGAGTGATTACTTTTATCACATGCTCATTTTTTGCTTTGTAAAGTATTTTTTTAGTAAGCATCTTCAGTACATTTAAAGAACTGTTCAGGTCAAAATTTCCAGGAATTCCTCAAACTAATAGAACGAACTATTTTATTTTAATGCACAGTTCTTCATAAGGGATCTGTGAAGCAGGCTGGAGTTGTTACCTCCTACAGTTGGGAAAACTGAGGCATTGGGAGACTTGGTTTTGTTTTGTTGTTAATTCTTGCTCAAATCAGTGGAAACTACAATCCCTCAGCCAGTGATGGCATTTCTTGGCCTGTGCATACTTGGCCCTGTGTAACAAGATATATGCTACCTAGTATGGAACTGATTTTAGAAAGAGAGAAAAGTATTTGTGGCATACTTCATAGTAAACAAAATAAAGACTGTTTGGCCTTCATGTCAGCTCACTTTTGTTCTCTGTTTATTTGCTGGAATCTCACTATTCGGCTGACCTTGGGAATCTAAGCTATAAGACTACCTTATAAGCAAAATGCTCATACACTGAGGGTCTTTTGGTGCAAAAGGAACCCAGTCCCATGTACCTGGGTTTAGGTGGCCATGCACTTTTTCCAGATGCTACCCTGTAGCCGTCAATGCCATAGCAAGGTTCTGGTGTTATCATCCCTAATGCCGACCTATGCTCAACCTAGTACACCAAGGCTTAAGAAAATAGTTCCAACTGGTAGAGCCTTTGATGTCTCAAGTCTCATAAGGCTCCTTTCACAATGATCTCAGTTCATTACAGAAATCGTCAGCTTCGTGTTACAAGACTGATTGTAAAATAGAGAAATGAACTCATTTGGAGCTTTCTGTCATCTCTATCTATCCCATTGCACAGCCTCGGCTCCACAACAACCAAACACTGATTTATTAGATTCTGATAACATATGTTCACATTATTTGTTATAACAGCCCGTCACACCCTCCACTAAAACTTGGCTCACACTTTGCAAAATTCCTTTGTTGCGAATGGACAAACTCACCATACCAGGGCCCTTGTGTTGAGCTTTGTTTATGTTGTGTACCTGGCAACAGAGATGATGTTCTTATTCATTATTCATGGAAAAAGAGCCTCATTAGTGGCAGGACACATACTGTTGCTGAGATGCCTTGGTAGGAGTTTTGAGTTCAGCAGTTGTCAATAGACTGCAGATGACCTAACCTCGACTGAATTCTGGAGGGTGTTTTGGTGAGGACTTGGCTCAGGTCTGTGTCATTTACAGTAGAAATATAATGAAGTGGCTGCTGAAGTTACTGTTCTTGTAGACTGAGCCACAACCACACAAGACTATTAAAAAACATGCCTCTTGTTTCTCACCCCATACCATAAAATGGGCTCTTTCAAGTTCAGCCCCGCTGCTTTTCCTGGAGACCCAAAGGATCTTGACTGAGTTGTTGCCTCATTTTTCTGGCCCTGTGCAAGAAAGTGTGGGTGCTTTAGAGGGCTTGGAGTACAGACAGCAATTAGGGGCACCCTGTTCCTCACTCTAGTTCAGATGTCATCAGTCTAATCCATGAGATGCTGGAGACAGCACTTTGAATTCTGACCCCCCCATCCCTCTTCACAGAGCCACACCCAAAGCAGCATGATTATATGTTATCTTTGCAGATTGGAATGCTCTGGTTGGGTAGCTAATTCTTGGATGGTTTATGGGTACCGCGGTCCTTCTTTATTACTTTTGCTAGGTGGCCGAATTTTTTAAATAGTATGTTGGGAAGTGACACAGTGGGATTTGTGCTGCTTTCCTGACCTTTGCAAAAAGGATTTAGAAATATGGCAAGGCAGGGGAGACCAGCATGTTCAAAGGAGGGAGGAAGGTGACATGTATCCCTTTGCCTCATTCTTTTTGTTCTTCACCTTCTAAAAAAATTTTTTTAGCTTTGAGTTTTAAAAGTGATATTCACAAACTCCTTTTACAGTGAAGCACCTGGATCCCTAGTAGGATTACCAGTGAATTGGTCATACCTCCTTGTAATCTGTAGTTTAATTTTGATTTTGCCCTTGAGATCCCTTCTCATGTTATGTTATTCCAGCCGTTAGTCTGAAGTGCTGTCTTGCTATCCTCAGGAGTTTTCGTACTCTTTTTTCAATTTGCTAACCCACATTATGGGTGGGCATTTTTTATCCAGGTGGTTGGTCCTGCTTTTGGAGTCCTTCACGCAATGACTGAAATAACAGCAGCTACAACTAGCATTTATTGAGTTCTTGTATTGTGCCAGGGTCAGACATGATTCTAAGCTCCACACGGATGAACTCATTCTTACCATAGGCATATGAGGCAGATACTATTATTAGCCCCATTTTATAGCTGTGGTAACTGGTACAGAGATAAGTTAAGTAACTTGTTCAAATGAAGAGCCTAAGATGCCAAAGTAAAGCCATGGAGATGGCTTCCACTTTCTCTGCCGTTGGCAGTATTTTTTTTTTATTGTTTTTATTAACACCATTCTTGTTATTATTAGCTACAGTTTATCGAGAACCTACCATGTGCCAAGCATGTTATACACATTACCTGTAACCCTCAATAACCTTGCAAGGAGGTAGTTATTCCATTTTAGCAGATGCAGAAACTGAGGCTTGTGAGTTTAAGTAACTTTCAAGACCACATTCCTTGAAAACGGCAGAACTGGGATTCAAATCCAGGTCTCTCTGGCTCTAAAAGCCCATGTGTTTTCCATAAATGTAAGCCTTGCTGAATGACTTGCTCTGCCTCTCTCACTCCTTTTGGAAAGGCATGAGTTAGGTGGGCTGGAGCCGTGGTGCAGAATTTCAGTGATGCCAAATTGTCTTTTAAGATTCTTTTTTTTTTTTTTTAAGATTTTATTTATTTATTTGACAGAGAGAGACACAGTGAGAGAGGGAACACAAGCAGGGGGAGTGGGAGAGGGAGAAGCAGGCTTCCCGTAGATCAGGGAGCCCAATGGGAGGCTCAGTCCCAGGATCCTGGGATCATGACCTGAGATGAAGGCAGATGCTTAATGACTGAGCCACCCAGGCGCCCCTTAAGATGACTTTTTAATCATTCCTTAAGAACCTGGTATATCTCTATTTGCTTATCTTTCTGAAACTCTCTTGAAAATATGACTTTCTATTTTCAATCACCTTGTGCCTGATTTCTTTGCCACAAAAGGGATTTGATGTATGGTGTTGATTTAATTTGAGATTTATCATCTTTTTTTTTTCAGTCATACATTAGCTATAAACACAGAAATGTTTTTTTAAGATCATTAAGTCATCAGAACCTTCTTTTGGAACCATTGAGAAAGTTGTTATAAGCTTTGGGTTGCCTTTCAAAGGAGCTTATAGGCCACCTAGGTTGAAAACTGACGTCTCAAAGATTAGGGTGGTAATGTGGAAAAGAATTCATGCATTTATTATTCATTATCATTTGTGCATTTCAACTTTAGAAGAATCTTCTAGAGCAAGTGAATGCGAGTATGATTGCTACAAGATACCTTTGGGAGCATCTAGTTTGGTCTGGTCTCTAGTTAGTGATCCCTTGGGAACACCAGGGGCTGCCACCCCGGGTGCCAGCCTGCTGAGATCAAGGGCCAGGTCTGCCTTTCACCAGCTGACTGAACTTCAGCATATTACTTAACCTTCTAAGCCTCGGTTTCTTTCTCTGGAAATGGAATCAAGGCTTAGAAAGGCTAAGTAACTTGCTCAAGATCACACAGCTGGGAATTTGTCATGAGGATTACAGTAGTTAATCCATGTTAAATGTTTAGAACAGCGTGGGGTACACATTAAGCATTCAGTAACTCTCAGCCATTATAAAAAGCCAACATTACTCCTGAACTTCACCACTGTTCTCAATCCATTTTGTTCAAAAGGAAAACCATATATAAAATGTCAGTTAAAATGAGAGAATAAGAACCCTGTCTTGTGCCCCCCAAAAGGCGGTGTTATGGCCTGTTATTAAAATTACTTATGGATCTAATAGGACATGTAGATAGATAGATATTTGATAAGAATGGGAATGCTTAGTTTTATCTACAAACAATTCTTAAACTTTTGGAAAGCTGAAAAAAAAGTGCCAGGGATTTTCATTCCTGATCAAAAGACAAATTGTTTCAGGCTTGGGGCAATTTGCACCAATGGAAATACAAGTCCAAGCTCTTTTGGATATTTACTCCATTAGGTCATTTAGTGATTGCCCTTAATTTGGGACA